GTAGTAGTAGTAGTAGTAGTAGTAGTAGTAGTAGTAGTAGTAGTAGTTGCTGTTGTTGTAGTAGGTGTAGTAGTAGTAGTAGTAGTAGTAGCAGCAGTAGTAGTTGTTGTTGTTGTTGCGTAGTTGTAGTTGCAGTTGTAGTTGTAGTTGTAGTATAGTACTAGCACCACTAGTATTACAGCCACTACCAGTACAGTTAAAAGATTGTAAAAGTACTTGTTGGCTGGTTGCTTTGGGTGGCCAAAAAGCAACGACAGGGCTCCAGATGTTGTTTCCACCCCCCTTGTAGGCAGCTGAAGAAGTTATGTTGTAACGGGGTTGCAGTTTTTGTTTGTACCTTGTTGTTGTCGTTGTGCTTGTTGTTGTTGTTGTTGTTGTTGCCGGATAACGGGTAATTGGCAGTATCTTTGATTGGGGCTTCAAGAGCAAAGGGAGGCCCACCGTATAGGCCCAATACAAAGGGTGATTGCAGAACGACCAATCGCTTGCTTCATCTGGTTGATGTAGGTCGACCTAAAACGGAAAAGATGGTTGCCGCATGTTTGGCCCATTTTGGTCCCTGTCGGCTCCACTGGTTGTTTGAAACGCAATTGACGATTCTACATGCTTGGTTAGGGACGGGTCTCAATCATTTTGTAGAGGCTTTTGCCTGATAATTAGTTTTTTGTTCGTTGCAGGCGTCTAGCTGCCTAGCTCAGCTCATTGCGACAGCAGATTCAAGAACTATTCAGGTACACTGGTAGCAGCTATTTGACGGTTGAGTTGTAGAATCAGAAACCCGTCTCAGAAACTAAAGTTTGGTGTGGCCAGGAACTTGCAAGATGGCTTTGATGGAGATTCCGATAAGGCGAGATCACATGGGAGATCATGCGTATACCATGTTTGTAGGATCGGGTGAGGGATCGGGAAGGGTGAAACCGCTGAAACCAAGGGAGGGTGAAACATGTGAAACACACCATGTCAAGAATGGCAGCATAATTTTTTTCCTTGGCCTTCGGAATTCGGAGATTCAAATTGTTTGGTAAACATGGTTAAACAAAGACGCGTCATGCAACCTTTCAAATCGTTTCAATTGGAATATGTTTTTCCATGTGGAACCATTTGGTTTCAAAGTGGAATCCTTCCATCCCCGAGTTCAGCGTGACTCGGTCCTTTCACCCGTGTTTGGTTTCGGTCTGTGAGTCTCGTGAGTTAGAGCGAGCGGAGTCCACTGAAGGTCGTTCCGGAATGGACACCGGACACCGAAGATGTGCTGGATAAAAAGGATTTGAGTTTTCCATGAAAGAAACCAACAATCACCAGCACCACGGATTCCGGGTGTCCATGAATGGCCCCTTAAGGGTCAAGGGGTTTCCATTAACCACCTCTTCCTGGCATGAAACCAATGCCATGGCGCCAAACCTTTGTAGGCTGGGGCAGTGTTGGCTTCATTTGTTCCAGTTTCGCTGGGGTTTGCAGTAGTGGTGAGAAGAGACTCGGTTTCAGCAACTCACAGATCAACAAGTTTAACCATGCTTGCGCACCATGGCGCTATGATTTGCTATGATTTCGGTAGACTAGATGAACGCCCTGTTTGGTCGAAGATCGGTTTTGTCCAGGAGAATCCAAGGACCAGTTTGGCTACTTAATTTCGACTTCAGGCCATGAAGTATATGAGATCTGCCGCCGAAAATGGCATCGCAGATGCTCAGTCCGCGACTCGGAATCAGCCAACTCCTAAACAGTTGGCAGTT